AATGAGGACCCAAATTGTTGGGGGCAATATGCTGACTCTGTAAACTGCTTTGAGAAGGCTGTAAAGCACTATAAAGTGGTATATAAGTCTAAGTACTATTGCTATAATGGCTAGAAAACCAAAAGGAACTCTACAGAGTAGGGCATGATGAACTATAATTATTTTTCCAAGATGCCCAGGCCAAGAAGTGGACTAAGAAAGCTGTTGATGGACAAATGATCCAGCACAGGTGGCATCCAGAAAGATGGACTGAGAAGGGGGAGAGAGAATTCTGCCAGAGAGAGAAAGCTACCAATAGAGGTAGCCCATTATTTATCTCTAAGGAAGGGAAATTAGGCACAGAAACAGCAATGAATTTGCGTTTAGTCAACATGGTAGGTTGTATGCATATGCAATAGAAAAAGTAGGCAACTATAAAATGTTTAGCCTAGCCAGAGTTAAACCTTTAGTTCAGGTTGGAAGAAGAAATATTGAGTGAAGAAGTTTGGCCCATTTTTCTAGAAGATGGTGGATGTATAATACTCTTTTATATCTCGGGCCAGTAATTTGACACCTTGCCACAATGAAAACAGCAGTTTGGCCCATCAACAAGAAAAGTATTAGGGATGTACATGATTTAAGAACAACCTGGAAGAACAACTTTGGACCTTATGCAAGAGTAGCATCATTCTTAGGTTCTAGAAGGTAGGCACACCTTTTTTTCTATGAACCTAAGAGTGCTTTAATGATTTGATTAATTCTTCCTCAAACAGAAGACTGAAAAAGTATTTGCTACATTAATATAGCAATAGCATTAGCACTTAGACTTATATACCACTTTATAGTGCTTTGCAGCCCTCTCTAAGTGGTTTACAGAGTCAGCATATTGTCTCCAACAATCTGGGTCCTCATTTTATCGACCTCAGAAGGATGGAAGGCTGAGTCAACCTTGAGCCTGGTGAGATTTGAACTGCCAAATTGCAGGCAGCCAACAGGCAGGAGAAGTAGCCTGTAGTACTTCACTGTAACCACTGTACCACCATGGCTCATAGGTATCTGATAGGTACTCTTTTCATGCATACATAGGGTTTGAAACATTTCTTCCTAAGGTTTCCCTAATTATGCGGGGTCCTAAGGCTGTGTCTTGACACCAGTGAGACAGAACATAGCACAGAGATTAATAGGGTTGGAAGGGATCTTGGAGATCTTCTAGTCCAACACCATGATCTAGCAGAAGACCCTGTATCATTCCAGACAAATGACTGTCCAGTTTCTTCTTGAAAACCTCTAGTGATGGAGCACCCACAACTTTTGGAGGTAAGACATTTCACTGATTAATTATACTCACTGTCAGGAAATTTCTCCTTAGTTCTAGGTTGATACTCTCTTTTTTCCACCTGTTACTTCTTGTCCTGCCTTCAGGTATTTTGGAGAATAGGTTGTCTTCCTCTCCTTTATGACAGTACCTCAGCTACTGGAAAACAGCCATCACATCACCCCTATTCCTTCTCTTTGTCAGACTACACCAGGGGTCTTCAACCTTAAACACTCAAAGAGCCATTTGGACAGGTTTCCCACAGAAAAGAAAACAAAGGAGGCCAATAATTTAACAATTATTGTGTGACTGGGTGGGCATGGCCAACTCGACGTCACTCACTCCTACCCAGTTACCACCTGCTCTGGAATATGGAGCAAGTTTCCATCCCCTGCCATCACCTTTACCTTCTCAGGCCAGGTGAGGAGGGACGGGGAGGCGAGGGATGGGGCCAGCCAACAGAGAACTGCAGGATCAGCCGACAGGGAACCACAGCAGAGGGTTGAAAGAGCTGCATGTGGCTCCAGAGCTGGACTAGACAAATACCTAGTTCCCTGAATCATTGTTTTCTAAATTCTGTAAAGGAAAGACTTGAGGAGAATGGTTCGAATATTTGGTGATCTAAATGAAGGCAGGATGTACTTCACAGCTGTTTTACATCTCATGAATAACTTTTGTCCTTAGTATTAATCCTGATTCTATTCAGTTGCTCTCCCTAGGAAGAAGGCAAGGGCAAACCACTTCCGAAAATATTGCCCAGAAAACTGCAGGGACTAATTCAGGCAGTCATCAGGAGTCAACACAGGTTTTCCACTCTTCTCTGGAGAACTTCAATTGACTTTAAAAGGGAAAGAATCTCCATACTGAAAGCATAATCAAATAGGCTGCTCCATGGCTGTACTATAATAACATATTCTTCTTGCCACAAAGAATGTGTGTGTGTGTGTGTGAGTGTGTGTGTGTGGTGCCCTTTCCTAGACATCTGCTTTGGGAAGGGAATAAAGCATCTGTGATCACATCTGCATTTCAGCATTCTATTCAAATCTATGTGTTTGTTAATGGAAGATATATTTAAAAAAAAAAAAAAACATTTACTGGTACACAAAGACCCTATGGGATTTTGCATTTAAAATAACGAAGGTTAGACAGTCAACTTTGCAACAACATATTAGCACAATCTTTTTCACTTAGTAGTGTGAACTATACAGGCTTCTGAGCCCTTTCAGCAAAGGAATACTTACATTTTTGTGATTCACACACTTCATGAGAACTAGCTCCCTATACGCCCGTTTAGCATGTGTTTGATTTTGAAATGGCCTGCTGAGCTTCTTGATAGCCACATTTCTGTCCAGTACAGCATCATATGCAGCACTAAAACAAGAAAAAGAAAATGACAATAGAAGAACTATTAATCTGTAGGATTCCCACTCAAATATCATTGCCTGAGTTTGATTCACTTTCAATGTTTTTCCCCCCAAAAGAAAAGAGATAGAATTTTGCATTTCTTCAATAGCTTTCCTTTCCTTCTGAGACTTATCCCAATTTATTTGAATAAATATGCATCAATATAGTTTAGGAAAATACCCCAAGTGACTTCAGTGGAAGCTGGCAACTCAGTTGTTAAGCCATACTAGGTGAAAAGAGGCACGGTGGTTCAGTGGTTTAATGATGCTGGAGATGGTCTCTGCTCCAGTGGTTCAAGTCCGAGCACTGTGTGACAGTGTGAGCTCCCATCAGTTGCCTCAGCTTCTGCCCACCTAGCAGTTTGAAAACATGTTATATGCAACTAGATATATAGGTACCCACTTCAGTTTAGAGATGAGTTGGTGCTCTGTGCAGGCTGTCAGATTTCTGCCAGCTCTGAACCTTCCTGCTTGCAACACCTATTTGTGAGGCAGCTCTGGGGGAAGGAAGGGGGCCTTGGATGACGCTGCATGAAGAACCAGTCATATTTCTTTCTGGTATGAAGCTAGCTTGCATCTTGGGAAGCGCACAAGTGTGTACCTGACAGAGCTGGTAAACAGGCAACTAAACTACTACTCTGCAATAGCACTATAGTCTCCTGGCTAACGTAAGAATGCCACATTGCTAATAATAATAAGTGAAAAACCACATGGTCCACACCATGCTTACAATTTTACTTCGGCTATCATTTATTTTATTGCATCAGAAAACTGGGACTCGAAACAGTTGGGTGAGTTCAAACAGCAGGTAAGATTTTTGGAACTCAGCTCAGGAGGAAGCTAGGTAAAAAGGCAAATCTTCACAGCCACTTTTCTTTATTTGCCTGCCTTTCTGAATGTTTATCTTCGCACTGGGGTGATTAGCAAAAAGAGAATTGATGTTTATATTTAGAGTTATTGGAGACATTGATTAAAATATGTTGTGAAGGACATAAATGTGGGCACTGATCAAAATCACTGTCATAACTGTGAACAGATACTATCCAAGGCAATCACTAAATGAGGACTACCTGCATGCTTGTTCATTATTTATCCTGGCTATTAATAATTGAATTCAATTTATTCCAATGTAACTTGTTTTATACTGTATATTGTCTCAGTGACCCATATGCTCATCTAAATTAATCTACAGTGAATTGTGTGCTTGGCCAACCCTAATCTGAACTGGATTCAGTCTTGGAATAAGGAAGATAGCCTTTATCTATTCACTCCTCTCAACCAATAAAAGGAATTCATTCTTCTATTCTGGGAATTGAAGTCTGATAAAATTAGAGGAATTAGATCAGGAAAGGTTTGTAATAGCAATACTGTTTCAATGAAGTTTGTAAAGGGCCTTCTAAGAGGGAGCAAGAAATAAACATATTTTTAGAAAATACCTTATTTATTTGACTTGTTTCCCGTTCGTTCATCTGTAGGCTACACTTGTTAGTATTAAAAGTCCTCTTATTACTACAGATTACTACTATCCGGGTTCTATTATAAAACTACTAACTAAAACTCTACTAAAGAATAAAATGCCTCTTCCTTTAATGTTATTTCTAATTTCATTTAATGACAAGTTCACTGGCGGGTTAAACTGCTTTTGCACAATTTGAGGAAATGCATGGATAAACCTAAAATTTTATGCTTAAAAAAATGGAATGCTGGATCTCTACAGTAATCATTTCAGAACAGTGATCTCTTCCCGCATCCCCCACCCAAAAGAAAGAATGAGGATAAAGACTTATTTATCTAGAAAGATTTACTTATCAAAAAAAAACCCACAGCTGGTTGTATTTGTTTCTTACCTTTTCACAGCAGGTATAATAGCAATAGCACTTAGATTTATATACTGCTTCACTGTGCTTTACAGCCCTCTCTAAGCGGTTTATAGAGTCAGAATACTGCCCCAACAATTTTGGGTCCTCATTTTACCCACCTCAGAAAGATGGAAGGCTGAGTCAACCTTGAGCCTGGTGGGATTTGAACTGCTAAATTGCAGGCAGCTGGCAGTCAGCAGAAGTAGCCTGCAGTACTGCACTCTAACCACTGTGCCACCGTAGCTCAATGTTGAAAAGAGCATATCAGCTACATTTATTAATTAATTAATTTTATTTAGATTTATTTATTTATAAATTATTAATTTGTGCCAGGAAAAATTGGGGCAAGGCGAGAGAGAAATAAGAATTCCCAGTTCTATTTATTAAAAGGAAGTGCCGTTCAGAAAGAGAGATTGTAGGAAATGTATGTCTCCATCTCCAGCTTGTAAGGGAGTAGGCTGGTAAACACTTTAATCTATATTTCAGAGGTATAATCATCATACATTTCAGCAGCAGAATAATCCACCATTGTTAGTGATTTTTAACCTCAATTCTCACAGGAAATATTGAAACTTTTTCTCTCTCTCTCTCCTTGGAAAAGGAGAGTCTCATTTTCCAGAATTCCCTTTAATCTCCTTAAAACTGTGACAATGTATAAAGGTTCAATAATTTGGCCAGGGAAAGAAATGGCCTCTGGAGACAGTCTAGCACTTATTGGCTCTCTTGTTCTGTTAATGTGTGGCTATCATTCTTCATGAATGTTGCATCTGACACAGGGGTGGGATTCAAATTTTTTAACAACTGGTTCTGTGGGCATGGCTTAGTTGGTAGGCATGGCTTGGTGGTCATGTGACTGGGTGGGTGTGGCCAACTCAATATCATTCACATTGAGGCACGCATCTCCTCGCCTGGCCTCTCATGACTGTGGGGATGCTGCAACAGTCATAAGTGTGAAAAATGGTCATAAGTCACTTTTTTCAGTGCCATTGTAATTTTGAATGGTCACTCCACACAAGCAAAGTACCAGCAAATGAGGGAAAAAAAACTCCAGAGAAGTTCCTGAGACAGGAAGTCTAGTCCTGCCAAGAATGTAATAAGAGTTAATGGAGAGGCAGTTTCTGTAAGCAACACCAGAATCTTTCCTTCCTGCCTTCCTTACAGGATTAGGCCAGTAATTTCTTCTAACAACCGGTTCTCCGAACTGCTTAGAATGTTAACAACCAGTTCTAGCGAATAGCTGCGAACCTGTAGAATCCCACACCTGATCTGACACACAAGAAATAAGGGTAAACAAGATCTTCCACATTGCCCTCTCCTCATATCAGCTTGTTTCAATCAAAAGCAGCTATGCGAAAAGCTGGGAACTGCAGATCCACATCAAGCAACACAGACAGGCTGAATTCTCTGACCTTTTCTATCAAATTGAATATTTCAATCATGGAGAGGATCACCATTTCAAGCAAAGGTTGCAGCCATGTTCCAAGATAGATATCACTTGAAGATGCATAATACAGAACCTGGAGCTTAAATAAATCAAATGTAATGTAGCTGTAGCATATATCCCCACGTACCATTCATTTCCACTTGTAATGAAAAAAGAACAACAACCCCAAAACTTATTAATTCTGCAATGGAACAAAGATTTTATTTGTTCATTCTCATGGCCACTTTTAAAAAAAAAAAGCAGGGAAAGCTAAAAGAAAGATGTATGCGAGCTCTTCTTTGCGTCAAATATATTTTCAAGGACAAAATAGTTTCAGTAATAACAATTCCATTTTTTTTTACATATAAACACCCTATTTATTTACCTAATGCATAGGAAATAGGGTGATACAGGTGTGTGGCACCAAAACAAGCCTTATTCCCCACTCACCACCTTATCTTATAATAGCTTACTAACATAAAATATGACCTTCTATTGGCTTAGGCTAGTTTGGTTTATCTTGCCAGAATTAAAGACAAAGGTCTTTGCATTATCTTCATCAGACTCAAGGAAGTAAGAATGACAGGAGGAGTTACTTCAGTGAGTTACTTTCTTTATTGCTGCTCACTTATACACCGGAATCTTGCCAGACTAAAGCACAAATCTGCAAAGCTATTATATATACCCATGAAAGGCTAGGGAGGGTCTGCCTTGTCTCTCTTCCTACACCCCAAAGTTTCCAAGCATGATTTTTCGGGATACTTATAATATAAGCCCTACCCCAAAAATAAGCCCCAGTTAAGATAATCAGTCATATGGACACATTTAGGGCCATTTCCCCCCAAATAAGACCTAACTGGAAAATAAGCCCTGATGAGTCTTTTGGAGTCAAAATCAATATAAGACCTGATCTTATTAATTAATTAATTCTGTAAAGTGATTGTTGGTAATTTGTTCCAGAAGACACAATGAATATTAAAACCAACAGGTACCAAGAAAACCATGTCATTTTCAGCCAGAAGAAATAGCATGTCATAAGGCAGCCAATGTCAGCAAGTTCTTCCTTGCGTGTCAACTACAAGGAGAAAGATGAATGCCAGGACAAGTTTTCTGCTTCAAAACCCATCAAATACCGAATTCTAAGCACCATTTTAAGCAGCCGAGTGCTGAGGTAGGACTGTACTATATTCCACCACAATCTGCTATTGTTTCTTTTCACTGGAAATCCTAAGGGACCATCAATTTTCTGGCTGCAGAGCAAGTTTTTTCCCCCAAACATTGGTCATTCCCTATGACCTCTTCCTACACACACAAACATATGAAACAAGAAAGTAAATTTAAGTAGTTAAAAAGCATTCTGCTGCAAGTACTGTAGGTAAACCACTGACATGCTTAAACAATAGCACTTACATAAAGTTTCACAGTGCTTTTACAGGCCTCTCTAAGCAGTTTACAGAGTCGGCCTCTTGCTCCCAACAATCTGAGCCCTCATTTTACCAACCTCAGGAGGATGGAAGGCTGAGTCAACCTTGAGCCTGGTGAGATTCAAACTGCCAAATTGCAGGTAGCCTGCAGTCAGCAGAAGTAGCTTGCAGTACTGCATTCTAACCACTGCACCACCATGGCTTAAGATTGGAGTGTTCCTGCACAGCTCACTTTTGACATGCTAGCATTACACCTTTTTGG